TCAGGCAGATTCGCTGGCGGAGTTGTTGGCGGTGGACAGGGCTGCACTGTACACCGAGGCGCTAGGTGTTTGGGAACACGGAGGTGTGAAGATCGCATCCGTGTTGCAGCGGTGTTTGTACCCGAGTGCACGTAGGACGCCCGACGCACAGCTGAGTGCTTATGTTTTTCTACTCCTCGGATGTACCTTGTTTCCGGATAAGAGCGGCGGAAACAAGCTCAGGCCACGCGACATCGTAGAGGCGTGTGACCCCGACAGTGTAGGCCAGTTTTCCTGGGAATCGGCTACGTTGGCGTATTTGTATCGTCAACTAGGATTTGCGAGTCGGGCTGACGCGGCAGGTATCACTGGGTGTCTGACTCTATTGCAGACTTGGATATACGAGTACTTTCCTGCATTGCGACCACATCGTGACCCAGTTCCTATTGATGAGGGGATGCCGCGTGCTTGTGCGTGGAGTCCGCGCTCGGAGAAGAAGTCCGTTGACCGCCTCCGATCGATACGGTTATTGCTGGACAGGCTGTCCCCCTTAGAGGTAACGTTTATTTATAGAGTCTACATTTTATTATTTGCACATATTATATTCATGTTATTAAATTTTATATGTTGTAATTGTACAGGTGAACTGGATGCCTTTCGGCCCGAACCCTAGTGTTAGGGTACCCAGGACCCTGTACACGGGACTCATTCAGTATCGTGACATCGTCGAGGCGTACATGCCCCAGCGTTGTCTTCGCCAGCTTGGAATTGTCCAAGTTGTCCCTCCTCCCCCGGCGTGCCCGATGAAGGCGGTCCGGCCTGCATCGTCGAGGGAGTACGTCGTGGAATGGCCGGATATCATGACCGGGACGTGGGACCAGTTTCCGATGGTGGCCCGATTATGGACAGCGGAGTTGCAGCGGCCGCCCTCTGGGGTTACTCTTATGTGTGACCATTACTACATGGAATGGTTCAACCGGTATTCGCACCCGAGGTTGATCGCTGATCTCGACCACAGCGATGATGATTATGTGCCACCGCCTACTGCCACGGAAGCGGTATGTCTTTTATTATATTTATCGTTGTCTTTTAATTAAGTTTTATTTGTTGTTATTGTATTTCATCTTCTGTTTTTTGTTGTATGCAGTGGATGGGAAAGATAATGCAAGACGTTCAGAAACTCTCTCTTGAGAAGGACAGCATGAGTGCAACAGGGAGAGCTGTTGTTGATAGTCTGGAACAGACCCTTGCGCAGTGGGAGTCGTCGTCGAGGAGGGATTACTGATGGTTATTGTATTTTATTTATAGAGCATTATGTTGGACATTATGTTGTAAAATTGTAACATTTTAGATTGTTCTTTTAGCTTCCAACTTAAACATATTATCAGTGCTGTTTTTAAATTTTGATATAACCGTTCGTGGATCCGCGCAACTTACCCATGCAACATATAGAATGCAGTAAGAAATACAATATAAAATATTAATGTTCTCATTAAAAGAGCAACGTACAAATAAGATTACAAATAAAGAATGTAAACAAGAAAAACTAAAATGCAGCTAGGGTGTTCCATTCGTGGATCCGGTCATTATATAGCGCATCCCAACCCTCTACGCTCGCTGTGCGAATGTTGTACCACCGAGGTATAATCGGTGGCACCGGAAAATTGGTTGACATGTCTAGTCGGATGAAATGTCTGTATGACGACCCAAGAAACGCAATAGCTAGCTCTCTGACCGGTGTGGTGACAGTCTCACGCGACCGCCAAGGGAGAACCGTGGTACAAGGATAATAAGCTTAACTATGCACTCCCAGGCCGAAATGCATGACTGCGCATTTGTAAATGTTTGCAACGGCAAACAGATCTAGGGGCGCGTCAAAATAATGATTTTCGCCGCAAGGTCCACCTCCCCACCGGATACGCCGGAGAGCGCCATCCAAGTCATCCTGGTACACATGACGATAAAAATTTCGGTTAGAGGCAATTTCGCTGTACATCAACTCACGCACCAAACCGTAGTTGTCTTCGCCCATTTGAAAAACATCAGCCACGACCCGGAATCCGCAGTTACCATCTCCGATTACATCATTCCACCCTTCCAAGTACGACATGATGATCGCAGGTATCCTTTCCTTGTACGGAAACTGATCAACATCGTTTCTTCCTATTCACCAAATAATTAATTATAGACAGTTAAGAAGACAGGAGTAACACTTTAAAACTATGTGCAATAAAAACAACCAAAACGTACCAGTTCTCAGGGGCATATTCACAGACGATGAAGATTGACTACGACTAGATGACGATGTCCGACCACGAGAACGACCACGACCAAGACCACGGATATACTCAAACGCACTCCTGTTCCGCCGTTGTCGACCTCGAGGATGGTCAACTCCTTCGGGTTCCTCATAATCTAAGTTAGACGGGTGGAACATGTCATGAAGCACATGAGTAGCGTCACGAATAATAGAAGGATGGCTGGAGGACACTCGGTCGTACATCGAACGGAACTGCTCCAACTCTTCCTGTTCACGGTCGGCCGTTTGATTGTCTGCATGCTCACCAATAACAAGCGTCCTCCAGAATGAATGGACCTGATCAACATGTAACGACGCCCTTTCTTCTGTAATAACGCGATGAATGGTGCATGCGCAAGGTAATCCATGAGTTACTGAAATAGTACACCCACACCGAGTATACACTTCGTCAGCCAAGTCCCTCACCCTGTTCAGCTCAGTGAGAATCAACCCCAAGCAGTAGTGCGACACACGACCATGGAGAATCTTAAATATAAAATGGCTATACATCGTACCATGTCGTCGTCTGGAGTCCTCTAGAGAGTTCCTGATGTCGTTCTTCTGAGTTTCAATTGACTTGTTCAGTCTAGCGAACAGTGTATCCAAAGCAGCGGTCGATGAATCAATCCAGTCCTTGGTAGCTCTATGAGCGCTCTCAACTCTACATGTTGTAGTGTTCCCAAAATGAAGTACCTGGTTTGTCCAATATTTGACAAACTTTTCCCTGTGAGGGACCCATTGATGCATCACATAGTCCACCAGTGCCGGACACCACTGATACGAATCCCTGAAGTTAGCCAATGCTCGCTCATACGCTTCCTCTGTGGTAGCCTGTAGGATCTTCCGCCACTTACCATTCACCAATCTCTCTGCCATTTCCAAATTCTTCTTGAAAAGGTTGTAGGCTTTCACTTTCACGCAGTTGTTGATGTGCCATGTGCACAATAAGTGGTTCGATTCGGGAAACAGCTCTGCTATGGGGGCAAAGAGACCTCCCTCACAGTCGCTGACGATGGCTGCTGGATGAACATTAGGCCCGATGTAGTTTCTCAGCTTCTCCAAAACCCAATAATAACTTGGAGCCGTCTCATCCCTGATGATTGCATGACCAATCAGAAAGTTCTGGTTCGTTGGAGCCATCCCAACCATCTCAACCAGAGGGAACTTGTACTTGTTTGTCTTGTACGTTGAGTCGATCAAAATCACAAATGGCCAAGACTTGATCATATCAGCACAATCAGGATGCACAAGGAAAAGATGAGTCACCTCCGCTGTATCTTCATCAGAATCAAACCAGAACAGGTAACCACGTGATTGTGCCTGGTGTAGCAGCTGCTGTATAGGGTTCCTTCCCTCTGACCGTTCAAACCTGAGTTGCTGTCTGACGTTGTAGATGTGTCTTCGGTTTGGATGGTCTTCTGGAAATTTCTCTAACACAGATGCTAATATTTTAGCAGGCTTCACTTGAGCATCACTCATTTCTTTCACAACTAGTTTCGCAGCAGGACTTAAGCCGCTCAGTTGTCGATGACCCTCTTCATATACTATCATCTCATGGTTGTGATACCCCCATTTAGAGTAACCTATCACTTCCCAACCGTCACGACTCCGTAGTTTTCGAACCTTTACTCTGAACTCACACCCACAACCTTTCCGCTTTGTGTCAAACCGAGTGGCTGTACGAAAATCTCTTTCTTCTCTTTTGCGATAACGGTCACATCTCAAAATGCGATCCATTCTACCATCCCGTTGAGATTTATGAGTTGCTACTACCAAGCAAAATCCAGCTGCAATTGCAACCTGTTTTGCCCAATCAATCGCCTGTTGAGCTTCTTCGAATGGACCATCATGTCCAAATATCTCACTGTAATCATTTCCGTCTCCACCATATTCCTGCATCAATTATATATTACAATAAATACATTTAACGGATAATACATTTAATTTCTATATTTCCACATAATTAACACAAAAAAAAACATAATTATATATAATCAAACTTAATTTTTATAAAAACCCAATTCGAATTTTCAAACTAAATTTAAAAATATACCATTTCGAATTTTCAAATTTAATTTTAAAAAAACCTATTTCGAATTTTCAAATTTAATTTACAAAAAACCCATTTCGAATTTTTTTAAAAAATCATTTTCGATTTTTTATTTTCACAAAAAAATTAAATAAAAAACAACAACAAAATCAAAAAGGAAAAAATAAAAATTAATTATTAAAGGTGGCGTCTGCCAGGGCTGCCACAGCCACTGGACTGGCGCCTGGCAGGGCCGCCTCACCCAGTGGAGTGGCGTCTGCCCAGGACGCCAGTCTGGTGGTCTGGGCGCCTGGGCTGGACGCCACTCTGGTGGTCTGGGCGTCTAGCCTGGACGCCACTCCGGTGGTTCTGGCGTCCGGCTTGGACGTCCAGGCTACGGTTTGGGCGTCCACCCTAGGCGCCGGAGCCACTACGACGGTAAACCGTGAATTTTAGCGGTGACTTACCTCGTTTTCCGTCGACGACGACGTACCTCCGGCGTCCCCCGCATCTCCGGCCTGCCATCCGGTCTCCCCCGGCGAGCCAGTACGGCTCCACATTTTTTACACCGAGATTATCTCAATTTTAGCAAAAGGGCATAATGGTCAAATCATAACATATTTGTGGGCTTTATATGGTAAATTGCGGGCGATGTTTAGCGTTTCACAATAATTTCCTTAAAAAAAATAAAAAATAAAAATAAAAATAAAAATCCCTTTTTACTTAATATATCAACCGAAATTATTAAAGCAAAGACTATGATTAAATACCATAATTTAATATTCTCAACAAATATATAGACTTATTAAACTCCCACTTTATTAATAAAAAATCCCTTAAAAAAAATTACTCGTAATTCAACACGTAGACCGCGTCTATTTATTTAGACCACTTAAAAAATTCCACCTCAAAAAAAAGCCGTTATATAAATACCCTAAAAATAACCAAAAACTAACAGACTCTTCCCCCTATTTTCTCTCTCCTCTTAACACTCTGTTTTTCTGAATAACAATGGGTCGTCCTCAAAAAATGAAAAACTTAGTCGGAATTTTCAAAGACAAAGTTTCTCTTATCAAAGCCACCCTTTTATTTTCCTCTAAACCAACCACTTCCTTTCATATTGCGGTCTTACGCGCCACCACGCACCGCCACCCTTCCGACCCGCCCCCGCTCGACGCGGTTTTATCTTTGGTTAATCATTACCGCCCTTCTACCTCCGGTGTTTTAATACACGCGCTACTGCAACGTCTTCATGGGACCACCAGTGTCTACGTGGCACTCAAGTGCTTGCTCACGCTCCACCACGTCATCATTCATGGTTCCCCTGCTTTGAAGGAGGAGATCTTGGGTTATTCTACTGGACCGTTGTTGAATTTGTCGGGGTTTAAGGATGATTCCGGGGGTGACACGTGGGAGTTGTCGGAGTGGGTGAGGTGGTATGGTGACGTCATTGATCACGGTGTCGGGTTGTCGCGGCGGAAGAACAGGGGAGGAGGAGAGAGATTAGGGTTGTTGATTAATATGGTTGAGGTGATTTGTGGGGCCCCTGAAAGTCTCCATTATCAAAGAATAAGTTTGATTTATGAAGTAATTAAGCTTGTTGGAGAAGATTATCGGATGATTATGAGAGAGATTAATGCTTTAATCAATCAATTTGGGAAGAAAAGAATTCAAGATTTGAGCAATGATTCAATTGGGGAATTGTTAAATGATTTAAAAAGACTCCAAAATTGCCGGGAAAAATTGGTTTTAATGTTCTTGAATAAGAAGAATGATGGGGTTTGGGAATTGATTGAGGAAGTGAGGAAAGATGTTGAGGAGGTTAAGGAGAGGAGAGAGAATATGAAATTGTTGAAATTAGAAAGGAGTGAGTCGACTCGGGTGGCGGAGAACCGAGTTGGTGAGTTGATATCGGTTTCGGTCGTGCCACCGCGGCGGAATAGACGGTGGTTGGATGTTGAATGGAATACAATGGTTGCTTCTTATGGTTGAGTTTTGGTTAGTATTGTCAAGGTTGGTTTCTCAAGTGTGAATTTGGAGATTGGTAGTTAGGTCATTTTTTGGAATATAAAATGTGTATATTTCTCATATTTTTTGATGTACAAAAACACAGAAACATTCCTTTGGTTTTTTTAATTACTTAGCAAATAAGGAAAATAATTAGGAATAAGTCAATAATAAGAGAAGAAACTGTTGTTCAAGTCAGTGTCTTTTTTGTGATTATTTCCTGATATGTGTCAATGTGTGAATGGATATAATGTGTTTTCTAATAAACTTGTGTTATCTTTGATTTGCTTCTTACTGAGTTGGTGTGAATATGGATACTGGTGCTGATGTCAATTGAATGACTTGGAAATAGACACATGATTCTAATTCAATGAGCTTGAAATCTAGAAGCTCGCGATCCAAACGTGTTAATTTTGATGTTTTTATAAGCTAAAAATGTTATTTTTAAGAGCGTGTTCAGTAAAATGAGTTGTTTTATCGTCGGTGACTTGATGTCACTTTATGACTAAAATTGAGGCAAATGATCCTAATTTGGTGTTAATGAGTTGAGTTTGAGATCTAGACATATCAATTTTATAGCTTTCTTATCCATGATATCTTATTTCTATACCTAGTGTGCAGATTTTAGATCTCAATTACATTAAAAGAACATTAGAGAGTAATACGATGGCTAAGGTCGATATAACAAATTAAAAGATATGTGGAGTACAATTACACAAGAACGATCTAGGACTATAATAAGGGAAAATTTTGATTCAATGTCGTGTTTTAAAAAGTTAAATTTAAATAGACCTTCCAATAATACAAGGTTGAGGTAAATCAAATTTAATACCATACGTCCATATCATACTCCTAAGAAGTTCGAGTATTAATAATACAGTAGGAAGATAAGAATAGTATTCTGTGATATGAATGTCAGGAAATCGTAATGAAGAAGCATATACAATTACACAGCAGGAATCTAGGAACATTGTTCGTAACTTCGTAAGGTTTTAGTAGTACGTAATGAGATAGACATTTATAACACAACAAACTTGAAAAATCCGTATTAGAATAATTTTTAGCAAAAATCCAATCATATATCTACTTTGAATATACATGCAACTAAAGTCAAATTAGAAAATGATTTATTTTATTTTACAAGAAGAAGAATAATACTGTGTATTATTATTGAATAACCACATGACATTTACAATGATAATAAAGATTTGTCTCGTATTGAAAAAGAAAGCAAAGAACTTTCAATTTATAACCCAATTTTTATTCCAATCGAGCTACTTTTATTGTCAATTGGTTTTAAAATGACACCTCGCTGTGGGCTTTTGTTTGTGTAATGAATCCCGCACTAATGCACTATCCTTGTTTAAAAAATAAATAAAAAAAATGAACGAAATGATGAGTTGCAGGAGAGATATGAGCATTAAGAAATTTATGATTATCCCCAATTAACGGTGTTTAATTTTCTAACTTGGTTGTAACAAACAATATAGTTTCTGTTTGGGTCCAATTTAGTCAAAATTGGGCCTGAGCACTAAATGATCCAATTAAAAGCCCAAGGTCAAGGTTCAACTCTCCAATTGCTCAAAAGTCAAAAGTCAGCCCACAAAGTAAGCCAATTGGGCTAAAGCCCAACCTCTCCAAATATGATGAGGTATAAAAGCCCTCATATTAACACATTCAAGGAGAGAGTCATATTCTTACATAAGACATCTCATAACATCACATACGAGACACAACAACACATGCATCATCACATACATTATCTCATACACGGATTATTCCAACTCATATGCTCATTCTTGCATTGAGAAATACTCCACAAAAGCCTCAAGCTACAAACTCTCTTGCATAGTGTCTTCCTTTTTACACATTGTACTGACTTTAGCATCGGAGGGGCCTTCCTCGGAAACACCCCCGAGGCTAGTTTACGTGTGTTCACTGTGCAGGAAACCTTCGGCCCAACACAGCTTGGATCGAATCCAGTCTTCTCCATTTTAGTGGACCTTCGGCAAGGTCCCATTGTTTTCAACCGAAACAATTTGGCGCCGTCTGTGGGGAAGACTTTCAAAAATCTTTAAGCCAAATTCCTAACCAAGATCATCTTGCAATTGTCTTAGCAGCCATGGCTAAGAACCGCAAGAGCAAAAGCCTCCGTCAAGGAGCGGGCGAAAAGCCTAAAACCCCTACACCATCGCCCTCGCCGGACCGGAACTCTCCCAAGGGTGCCGGCTCGGGGGGAGGATCACACAAGGAGGATTCCCTATCTCCTATAATGCATGACTCTCAATATAGGCCGGACCACTCTCGGTCTAGCAGGGGTCAGTCTGATCATAGGACATATTCAGTGTCCCGAAGCCAACCATCGGCTGCACGGCCTCATGCCCACACTCGGCCGGAGACCCCTTTGACGGGGCCCAGTTCGGAAGAGGTGGCAAGAGCGCTGGCAGTACTCATGGAGGCAATGAGGGCACAGAATATGCCACCGCCTCGTGATCGAACTCCTCCGCATACCCGGCATCAGCGGAGGAAGTTAGACCATGACGGTGGGAAGCTTCCTTCCTTCCGGGAACTGGAAGAGTGGGAGGAGGATTCTTGGAAAAATGAAAAACAGAGGAAGAAGAACTCTCAATTATTTAAAGGATCCTCATCCTCAAGACCAGCAGCGCATAAGAGCAGCAGCTCAGCTTCTCGGCCAGAATCTACTCGCCGGGAACCTGAGACTGCTCGCAGAAGCGTCCTTGACCGACTCGGCGGCCAGGAACCGAGCGTGCGTAGTCGCCTCACGTTCCCTGCAGCCGAGGCCCAGACTTCCCAGCCAGGGACGAAAACCACTCCTACCTCTCTGAGAGGGCGGAGCGCGGTCCCTTCGGCCAGGAACAAGGGCAAGGCCATTATGCTTCCCGCTAGTTCACCATTCGAGCAATGGATACTAGAAGAGCGCGTACCCACGGTTAAAATACCGTCGCATATCACATATGACGGGACCACGGATCCGAAGGACCACGTGGCCTCGTATGAGGCTCATATGCATCTTTGCCCCAGATCCGAGGCAACTTGGTGCAAATATTTCCCAACCACTCTCAAGGGGGTCGCGCAAGCGTGGATCTCCAAGGGAGTAAGGCAAGGCTCCATAACAGGTTGGGATGATCTGTCCTCCAAGTTCAGGAGCAAGTTTTCCACGGCAAACCGCCGAGAAAAGACTACCGCAGAGCTCATGGGTCTGCAACAGGGGGAAACCGAAAGCCTCCGAGACTACCTGACCCGTTTCAGTAACGAGTCATCAAGCGTCTCTCAGCTGGACCAGGGGCTAGCTGTTTTTTGCAATGCAGAATGGCCTTCAGCCAGGAAAATTCCTAGACTTCATGGTCATGCATACCCCGCAGACCTTGGAGGAAGCTCTTAGTGCTTCGGATAAGTTCATCCGAGCCGAAGAATGGAATAAAGCAAAAACCCAACCTCAATCCGGGGGAGGGAAACAGAGGCAAATACCCTTGTCTGAAGGCCAAGGCCATAAGGCAAAGGGAAAATCAAAGGCTCCGGAGCCATCTCCGGCCAGCGACCCAAAGAAGGACAGGTTTGCCTCATACACAGGCAGATACGAGTCCTACACTCCGCTCTCTCTTCCACGCGCCAAAATTTACAGTGTGACGAAGGAGGAGCAGAGTTACCGAAAGCCGAGACCACTCCCAGAGTGGTATCAGCAAAAAAATAAAAATCAGTGGTGTGACTTCCACGAGTCTTCGGGCCACAACACTGAGGAGTGTATCCAGCTGAAGGACCAGATAGAAGACATGGTCCGGAAGGGATACTTGAAAAAATACATCGCGGATCACCGCGAGAAAAAAGAATCCGAGAGGTTAGCAAAGGACTCTCGGCAGGACCTTGATTTCCCCCGGAAAAACAGTAAAAAACCGGAGGGGAAATTCCCTCCGATCAATGTTATCTCGGGAGGAATATACTCTCGGAGGGAGCACAAGCGTCACCTTAGAGCTTTGACTCACCAGGTGAACAACGCTGACATTCAATCTCCCCAGTCGCCGGTGCCGAACATGACGTTCACAGCCGCCGACTGCCGGGGGATTATGTTCCCTCACGAGGATCCGTTGGTGATCATCGCCACGGTGGCCAACCACGACGTCAGTAAGGTCCTTGTTGACGGTGGCAGCGGAGCAAACATTCTGTTCCGAAAGGCCTACAACCAAATTAAGCTGAAGCCCAAGCACCTTACGCCGGTACCCTATCCGGTATCCGGGTTCAATGGGGCTTCAACTTATCCAGATGGGAAGGTGACACTTCCTGTCACCATCGGTTGCGATGAGGCAGCCCGGAACGTCATGATTGAGTTTTTGGTCATCGACGCTCCTTCAGTGTACAACGTGATTTTGGGGAGACCCATAATTCACGAGATCCAAGGGGTCGTCTCAACTTATCATCAGCTGATGATTTACGTCTCAGACGCCGGCTTCCCCGAAAGGATACAGGGCAACCAAAAGGACGCCCGAAGGTGCAACTACCTCAAGCCATCCAGTAGTCGCCCAGATGACGACAAGGATGAGGAGGAGAAAGAAAAAGAAAGAGAGCCAAGCACAAAAAAGCCGAAAGGCCTAAGTGCTTCGGCCCAAGGATCAGTGCCCAGGGAAAAAGGTCCCGAAAGGGAAAAGGTTGACTCTTCATCTGAGCCGAAAGACTCAGAGAGCCAGCCGAAGAACACAAAGACTGGGACACCTGCTGACATTGGCAGCAGACCAGATTCTGAAGAGTCCAGTCCATCGGCAATGGACATGGACCAACAGACTGAAACAGTTGAGTTAGCCGAAGGAGATGCTGAGAAATGTGTAACAATCGGGATGGACCTTGATCCTAACACCCGTTGTGAACTTATTCAGCTCCTGCGGGATAACAGAGATGTGTTTGCTTTCTCGGCAGCTGATATGCCCGGGATAAGTTCAGACCTCATCTCCCATAACTGAAGGGTCCATGCAAGGCCTCTCAAAATTGGGGATCTTGTCCTTCGGAATGCTGCTGCAGTTCAGAAAGGCCGAATCCATGGGAAGCTCTCAGCTACATGGGAGGGACCTTATGAAATTTATGATGAGCTTCAGCCAGGGACATACCGACTTCGGCAGTTGGATGGAACTGAGTTGAAGAATCACTGGAATGCTGATGTACTGAAAAAATACCATGTGTAAACCCTTCGGGGCAGAACAATCTTTGTAAGTACATTTTGAACTAATGACAGGCCTTGGAGCCGCCATTTATATAAAATTTACAACTGTTTATCCTTTCAAAATTTT